CAGACAGACAGACAGACACCGCGGCTCATAAAACGGACGGTAAACCGGATTCATAAAGCAAACAGCCACAACATGAACAGAACCGGTGGATTCCCGCCACAGGGCATCACAACACACTTCTGTACAGGGCACAAAGACCAAAAATATGATTTACACCAGGAATGAATTGTAAACATGCAGATCGTTCAGTTTATAACTATCACACACCTGTGAGTGTGTGAGTGTGTGTGTGTGTGTGTGTGTGTGTGTGTTTCCACAGCATGCTGAGTGGATGGTGTGTGAGTTCTGTCCTGGTCTATGTGGACTCCTGCTGCTGAACGGGGCTCGCTGTGGATTCCTCTGATTAGGATCATTCATTTATTAATGAGGCCAGTCTGAAGCATGTCGACATGAATAATCCCACATTAATAATATTATAATTCTTTCTTTAAATAATCCGAGGGCGCGCGGGGGGGAGGAGGGGGGGCCCGGGGCCCATTAACATCTGATGATAAGAATAATCTCACAATGCGCCTCCAGAGCTGTGATTCAGGGAATGATCCTTTATTTAAGATACAATAAACCTGTTTCCCAGACATGAAGGCGTTCCCTCCCTGCAGGCCTCCTGCTTTCAAATCACTTTACAACTATTTTATTTTATTTTTTAACTGACTTTCCGATCAGCGGAATGAAATGAGTTTAGTTGGAGTGAAACACAGGTTGTGCTGCTGCTCACATTAAATTAACATTTTGAATTTCAATTGAAAAATATGCAAGTTTTCATTCTTTTATTTAGTTTTTAATTTGCACGGAATAAAATCTGAGTTTGAAGACAGAAGTCTGTTCGTTCTGAAACAATGATTTGGTGGAATCTGTTTAGCCTTTTTCCTTCCTTTTCTTTCTTTTTTTTTTTTAAACAGTCACATCAGCAGAACCCGGTTCCTGACACCGTCCTCACAGGCCTGATGTGATGCTGACAGGCCGAGACCTGAAGCCTCCAGCAGCAACAAAACCAACAGAATAAAAACACAGAAACTAATTCTCATTTCTCTTCAGTAAAATTTCCTTCATTTCGCGTCAGGTTCTGGAGGTTCTTTGCTCCCTCTGGTTACACCAGAACTTTCTGCTACTCTACTCATTCTCAGTGTTTCTTTACTCTCCTCCCCAGCAGACCACCGTGCCTCTCAGCTGCTTTACTTTCCTCCTGACTCTGGAACTTTTCTGTATCTACCTGCTGCGGCGGGACTAACACCGGGTTCGTCGGCGGAGGTTCCGAGTGGTTCTCCACGGCCTGAGCGTCTCTGCCTCCGGCCACGGCGCCGGAAAAGAGCCGCTTCTCCCCGGCGGCGCCTCCGTCCAGCATGTCCCCGCTGTCCGGACCCACCACCGTCTGGACCCCGTCTGGACCGGGAGCCGGTACCGCTCTGTCCCGACTCATCACCGGCTGGAGCGCGTCCGCCACGGGCCCTGCTCCGGCTCTGTCCCGGCTTATCACGGTCTGGACCCCGTCTGTTCCGGGCCCCGGTACCGCTCTGTTCATCACTGTCCCATAAATATGAAGAATCCGTAGAAATGCGGGAGAGGTGATAAAAAAAATAAAAAATAAAAAAAATAAATGGGGAAAAGACGAAGTTTTAAAAGATGATGTTCATGTCAAAATGAGAAGTTCACACCACAGGCCAGTTCGTGAGTCCCGCCAGCATCCGGTCGGAGGCGTCTTCAGCCGGTTCAAGTTCCCATCGGTGTGCGCGGACGCGGCAGCTGGAGGCGGACTGGACGCGGCTCCGCTCGAACTTTAAACTTCTCCTCTGCGGCTCTTCATCCTCCGCCGCTTTCAACACCAACGTCTCCGGGAGATCTAACGTGTGTCGGTGTCGCACGGCGCCGTTATCCCGTGTCGGCACGCACACATGCACAGCTCGGCGTCCCGACCTCCAGCCCGGCGCGCTCCGTCTGGTCACCGGGGGGGTGTGCGCGGCGCGCTCTGGAGGCTGACAGGAGTTGGAGGCGGGACGCTGATGTGTCTCTAATAGTTAGAAGCAGCTCTCTCTCTCTCTCTCTCTCTCTCTCTCTCCATTAGTGAAGTGAAGCCCCCCCCCCTCTCTCCCCCCTTCAGCTCTCGACGCCTTTTTTGGCTTTTAGCCCCTCGAGGACCCTCTATCATACACTCACATTTGTGCCCGTGTGTGTGTGTGTGT